GAGGCAATTTAAAAACCATATTATTATACCTTAGCAAATCTGACTCAACATTAAAATAATACATTTTAATACATAAAGTAAGACAGATTCTTGAAAATTACTGGCCAACAATTAATAATTATTATAGGGTAATTGTTTAAGCAGTGTCTGGAAAATTCAGCTTTCTAAAAATATATAAAAGAGAAAATATCCAGAGGGGTTCAGAATTAATTCATACAGTTTGTGTCCCGTCTGGAAACACTTATGAAGTTAAAATGGAAAGCATTCCAAAATCTATTTCTCCATCTTGTTTGCTGATTTACTTTTTGAAAATAAAGTTGGAAATATCAAAATTTACATAAAGGTCTTCGTTGACTCAGATTGAGTTATTTTTATATCATGAGGCAAAAACCACATTTCCCTATTCCATGAATTTGGGCTTTGTTTCATTAAATATACCTATTGGTTTATTTGAGAGTTTTATATTGACAAAGTTTCACAAAACATCATTGTATAAGCCATCTTTTTCCTTTGTTGAAATACTTATTCCTTTTGTGATATTTGAATTACTCAGTAACCCAACAGTGATAGCACAAAGCAGATTCATTGAGATGAAGGTAAAAGGGAAATCAGACTTTCTGTAGGCTTTACAAAATATCTGGCATTTCATATGTGAATATAAACTTCATAAAAAGCTGGAAAAACAAGTGTTGTTTTCATTAGAATTTCTCTCTAAAATGGAAGAGTCAATGAATTTCCTGGAAGTATATTCTGATGAATCATTCTGCTTGTAAGATTTTCTCTCATAGTTCTCCATCATCTTTAAGAGGTTAATTGCCTTGAAGTTTTCTTTTATTCTTTTGTTTATTTTTATTTTTTGTGAATTTTCCAAATGTTTATAGTAGCAAACAGTTTATGGTACACACTCTGGAAAAATATTTATAGAGGTTAAATTAAGTACCTTTGGGCTTTGTTATTCAAACATCATAAACACGATTGTATAGTCATGAAGGGCTTCCCAAGTAGTCCTAGTGGTAAAGAACCCATCTGCCAATGCAGGAGACTTACGAGATGCAGGTTCAGTCTCTGACCTGGGAAGATCCCTTGGAGAAGGGTATGGCAACCCACTCCAGTATTCTTGCCTGGAGAACCCTATGGACTGAGGATCCTGGCAGTCTATAGTCCATAGGGTCACAAAGAGTTGGACACGACTGAGTCAACTTAGCACACACATATAACAATAAAGGTTGAATTCAGGTTCTAAAGTTAAAATCTGTCTCCTCATATGCTATGGACATATTTTGCTCTTAATTTATAATAACCCAAATATTATTAATAATATGAGTAAACTGACAATGTTATAAGAAGAAATTAGGTAATTCATTAGTTGGTTGCAATAATGTTTGATATCCTTAGGCAAAATAACATTAACATTTGTTCTTGTTACAGTTATTATTTTTCTGTTCTACCCTGTATTATTCATATAGACTTTTAAATGAAGGTTGCTGTCAAGCATGAAAAAAATTAAGAATATTTTTAGATTAACCAAGAACAAAGAAACATTGACTGTCTTACTTTCACTTATATTATCTTACTTACCACACAATAACCCAAATTCTCTGTTAGTTTATCTCTATATGTGTGAGGTTTTGATACTGTAAAGGGTGTGTAGTTATTCAAGATAACAATTGCAAAATTGGAGTGACAAGGTTAAATCCGCATCTTTCGACTCTCAGATTTACCCTGTAGTCCTCTTATTTCCACGTAGAGTTTTGCCTTCATTGTCATAATTGACACCTTGACATATCCACGTATTTTAAGATATTGTGGTTTAACAGCCTCCTCGTTCTCCAGCTCTATTTTTTTTTATCTCTTACTCAAGATTTTAGAGCAGGTGATTTATGAACCGAAGTGGGAGTTTCCTGCTGGTCCAGTGGCTAAGACTCTGCTTCCACTTCAGGGGCAGGGGTTCAATCCTTGGTCAGGGAACTAAGATCCCGCCTTCCTGCATGTTGCATGCCATGCGGTGTGGCCAAAAAATGTCCCAAAGATTGGGCAGCATAATACAACTTTTAGTTTATAATCTAAGGCCATTTTAGAAGAGAGGGATAATTAGAGAGAGATTCATTTATTCAGTTCACATGTTAATTGGGCATCTACTCTAGGATGCAATTTATAGGACCTGAGGATACATTGGGGATCAGAAGAGATAAAACAACTTATTCTCTTGGAGTGCAATTTCTAGTAGAGGCCACAGATGATAAACAAATACTAATAAAGTATCTAATATAGGTAAATGTTAAGGGGAAAAATAATGCAGGAAAAGTAACAGAGTCAGTTGGGTAAATGATGTTTGCAATTTTAGGTGGGATGATTCAAAAAAGCTCTGTGAGAAGGTGACATTTGAATGAAGTAGTGAAGTAGGGTAGTGGATTAAGTCACACAGCTCTCTTTTGGAATAGCATTTCAGACCAAGAGAACATCAAGTACAAAGTTTTTGAGGTTGGAATGTGCTGGACATATTCATGGGCCAGAGGAGGCCAACTGGGGTTGAGTAAACTGAACGAAGGGAAGAATAGAAAATGTTTCCACAGAAGCGCAGACTTCTGGGATCTTGTAGATCTTTGTAAAGATTTTGGTTTTTACTTTTATCGAAATGGGAGACATTGGATGCTTCCATCAATGAGTCTTATTATCTTACTCACTGATGGAAACATCCAATGTCTCTATCTTGTTGAATAGAGAGGAAAGGGCAATAGATGAAGGTCAAAGTAGGGAATTCATTTAGGAGGCTGTTAAAAAAAATCAGGTGGTTCTAGCCAGTGTGGTACAATTGAGATGACTGACAGCTATTAGATAGAAGACAGGGTCTACAAGATTTCTTGATGGATTAAGAGTAATTTGTATGTTTGTGTGTGTGTAAAAGGAACCAATATGACTCTTAAGTTTTTGGCCAGAACACTTCAAAGAGTGAAGTGTTGCTATTTACTGAAATGAGCAAAACAGAGGGAAATGTAGATTTGGGAGTGAGAGTGGAGGGAGAAACAGGATAAGGGACTCAGTTTTGAATGTAATATTTGATATTGATCCTTTTTAAATTCCAATGGAGACTAAATGGAAGCTAAAGCTATACTGATGTAAGAGGGTCCAGCTCCTAGGATATTTGGTCTAAATGGTGTAGGGTTATAACCATTCAAAAGCAAATATTAAACATTTTTTATGTGTCATGTCCAGTACTGAGTGCTGGGATATAATAATAAGATATAGGCTTAAAAATTCACATAATGAGATGTAGTTCATGTCAAAGGTGATTTGAGTTATATAGTGTTCACAAACATGAAACCTTGGAAATAAGAATACTTGATCTGTTATAGCATTGTTAAAGCTATATTAGGAGTTTTAGTCAATTGACCATCCTCTTGAAGAAGGGTTGTTTTTTTTTTATGGCTTGGTCTCCTGAAAGTTCTGTTATGACAGACTATTATAGAGAAAGCTAAACTCATAGATCTTGTTCACATTTAATGCCCGTTGTTCTTTCTTTTTCATCTTACTGATAAAATTCATGTGGTGAGTTGCATTCAATCACAGTATAGTATATATAAGGTTGTTGATGTTTATGTTTTCTGAGCTACACAGTATTACCTGAAAGATGATTAATTAATTGCTAGACTTTTTGTTCTTCATTTGAGTGTTATGTCCTTTTTGTACTGTTGTTTTGACATTTGGTAACTCTGTGTGAGGTTTTTGGAAGACCTGCAAAGGCATGGAGTATAGTATATATACATTTCTAATAATGCAACTACCCAGGAGAGGCAGAAGTTATTTGGTTTCTTTTTTTCTTTTCCTTTTTTTTTTTTTTAAGTTTTATAGGTCTTTAGGATACATTTGAGAATGTATTATATGTGCCATTATGAAAGACTGCTGTGCTAAATGTCGGTGCTTGATATTCAATTACAGCATCTTTCCTTTAAGTCAAAGAAGAAAGCAAATAGCCCTCTGCTCAGGGAACCAGTAGCACTAACCACTCTCCAATAGTAACAGTAATTTCAGCTGTCAGAGACCAACACTAGTCTGTGTCCCCTGGAGAAAAAAGCAGTTAAAGCAAAATTTCATGTGGTTTTCTTTCATGATTTGAGCTCCTTCTGAGAAATACATCTAGAGTTATGCAGGAATATATCAAAACTGTTTCACTGACAGTGCCCTAGCAGAGTTCTTTATCAGATAACACCTGTGAAGTTGTATCTGGCGGTATGTGAAATGCTGTGATTCAGGTTACAGCATGGTGGCTCACTTGTAAGGAGAATTTCCACATTCAGAATAATCTTTGTATGAAGCTTCCAGAACACATAAAAGGACAAAGTCTGGATAAAATAAAAAATTAAAAAAAACTATATATATGTGTGTGTATATATGTATATATATTTCTAAGGTGAGCTAGCAATGTGGGAGACAACTAAATGTAAATAGTAACTCATCCTAAAACAAAAATCAATGTGTGTGATCTCTACAGTTGAAAAGATGTCAATTAGAAACACATCTCTTTGTTTTCAAGTAAAAAGTTTCCTATGCATGTTATTCTTTTTTCTACTTATGCATAGGTCTATAAGAATCACAGATTTTTAATGCAATTGAATTGTGTCTTTTAAAAGAAAATATTCCCTAGCAAGAGTTGTTTTAAAAAAATTGTGAAAAAACAACATGATGTAGAAAAATGAAAAGCTTTACCTTGAAATCTTTGGCCAGAACTAAGTTGTTTTGCTTCAACTATTTATATGCTGAAAATGAATATATCTAAGAAAGGTGTGGACAGTACTGGCAAACTGATTTACACCTCAGAGTAAAGATAAAATGCTTTACCTGTGGACTAGGAGAAAATAAATAATTCAGTTATCTTACTCATTGTTTGTGTGGAGGATATTTAGTACCTTTTTAAAATCATGTTTCATGAATCCAGGCCCTTATAAAACTTTGTAACTGGTTATGCATAACTGGAACTTATGTATTTTCTGTCATCTTTCCAGCATGGCGATGCTGTCCATGACCTTCTTCTGGATGTGATCACCTGGGTTGGAATTTTGCTGTCCCTTGTGTGTCTCCTGATTTGCATCTTCACGTTTTGCTTTTTCCGTGGGCTCCAGAGTGACCGTAACACCATCCATAAGAACCTCTGCATCAGCCTTTTTGTAGCAGAACTGCTCTTCTTGATTGGGATCAACAGAACAGATCAACCAGTAAGCAACTTATGTTATTAGAAAACAGTTTCTCCATTTATAGCTTTCCGATACTCAAAATATTCTTGTTTGAAAGTATCCTCTCTTCCAGTTGTCTTAGTTATTGATTTTCATATCTTATTCAGTTTTCCCTTTTTCATGTCAGGGATTCTTTAATATCTGCAAATCAATCAATGTAATACACCACATTAATAAATTGAAAGATAAAAACCATATGATTATCTCAATAGATGCAAAAAAAAGCCTTCAGTAAAATTCAGCATCCATTTATGATAAAAACTCTCCAGAAAGCAGGAATAGAAGGATCATGTCAATTCATAAAGAAGTATTGAATATATGGATGTATGAATGTACATTTCTTGAGAAATTCTGTTCATAAGTTTGCCTTTCTAAAGAACCATGTTTCTTTATTAGTCTTCATTTTTCAATCACAGAGCTGAATATTGAGGAGAGTTAAGTCATTAGGGAATGGAGGAGTATCTTTTCTAACATATATTTGTTGTTCTTTTCATAATACACTTTTTAAAAACAATGGGAATTATGTTGAAAATTGCATGTCTAACATGACTTTTCTAATTGATTTATTTTGGAAATTAGTTCAAACTGTATATTGTTTTTATAATTTATATACTCATCCCAAATTTTGTTTTACACTTTTTATTTTTTCAAGTTCTGTTTACATTTTAACGCTAACTTCATACTTTATTACTAATGACATTTAGCTATATCAAGAAAGGAAGGGAAGGAGGGAGAGGAAGAGGGAGGAAGGAAGGGAGGAAAAGAAAGAAAAGAGTATAGTAGAAGGAATAGTACCAGCCAACTGTTCTTGATAAAAACCAAACAGAAAATATGATCAACAGATAATATCTAATATATTAAACAAACTTTATGCCCACTTGTAACTTTTGTGAGGCTCTTTCTATGTCCTTGAGATTCATGAAAATAGCACATTTGTTTTTGTGATTAAAACTACGAATGAAAACTTTCATTTTTTAGAAGACTTGTAGGCATAATAAATAATTCATTCACTTAGTGCTGTTCTCTGGTATGAGTCCATATAATATAGTCTTTACAATGAAAAAGCAGTTGGATTCATGTTTGTGATTACACATTCATGATTAATTAAAGGGTACACTTACAGTGATTATACTTTTAACTGGTTATCATATACAAATGTGACAGTTTTTCCAAGAAATGCATATAGATGAATAAGCAATCAAAGTGCACATTTTTTTTCTCCAAAAAGTACTTTCTGATAACAAAAGTTAATAGTTGAAGCCCTAACTCTAAAAATCAAGAAACTGTGATATTTCCCAAAAAGAAATCATTTCATTCTCTTTTTAACCTGCAATTCAACTGCTCTTTGATTTTTCCTTTCATTGAGAAACCTTCTTCTTATTTTTGCTTCCTGATGATACATCTGGTATGATAAACTTCTCCAAATTTTGCAGACTGCACAAAACTAATTTCTGACAGTAGTATGAAGACAATGATTGGTCTGCAACTTGGATAAGTGCATCAGCTCAACTGTCTTTGTGCTTGTTGCTGGATATGTGTCCTCTTCCTGCATCTTATATGGCAGTTAGGCTTTGCTTTCTCTCTATGGGCCTCCCTGGCGGCTTAGACATTAGGGAATCTGCTGGCAATGCTGGGGACCTGGGCTCAATTGCTGGATTGAGAAGATCCCCTGGAGAAGGGAATGGCAACCCACTCCAGTATTCTTGCCTGGAAAATCCCATTGGCAGAGGAGCCTAGTGGGCTTCTAAAGTCCATGGGTTGCAAAGTATCAGACTTGACTGAGTGACTTTCACTTCCCTTTTCTCTCTCTAGCTCCTTTGGTGCTTGACTTCCTTATCACCCCTACATCATCATCTCTCTAACCCAAGGATATAGACCTGCTCTTTGCCTCATTTCTCAAGGATCACACTCATCATTGAATCCATACTAATCAGATCATTTGTATAAATTTGTTGCCTTTTTTCTAATAGGAACCACAGATTTTACTTAGGAATCATAAAAAATAAAGACTTCCCCTCCAGAAGAGTGAGAATTTCAGGAACTGACATAAGAAAATTAATATATGGTCAACTGAAACTTGTAGTACCTTAGAAAATATGACAGGACAAGGGCCAGCTGCCCTTTTTGACCAAGCTTATGTAGACCAGCATTTAGTAAAATAACACAAAAAAGTAAGAAAATTAAAGCACTTACGGAACATTTATTTTTACCAGATCTACTTTTACATCTTTGCAGTACAAACTTCACAGTTTCAGCTTAAATGCTTTCTTAAACAAGGCAAGAAAGAAATAAACAATTAATAATAAGAAGTAATAATCTCATAAAATATTTTAATTATTATATTTTTATTTTGAGCTATTTTTCTCCTTGGTTTTAGTGTTTCTCCTTCATTTACATTGAAGAATTTTGTATGTTAATAAATACAGGATTGTTTATACAGGACCAAGAAAAAAAAATGTGAGATCTATTTTAAAACCTTTAGGCTAATCTCCAGTATAATTTCAAGAAGATCTTCTTAGAACATTTTCTTACATGTTATACTTTTTTCTTATTATAATGCTCTGCTTTCATCCATACATATAATTAATAAAATGTTAAATATGGCAAATAGATGGAGAATCAGTGGAAACAGTGACAGACTTTATTTTGTGGGGCTCCAAAGTCACTGCAGATGATGACTGCAGCTATGACATTAAAAGATGCTTGCTTCTTAGAAGAAAGTTATGACCAACCTAGACAGCATACTAAAAAGCAGAGACATTACTTAGCCAACAAAAGTCTGTCTAGTCAAAGCTATGGTTTTTCCAGTAGTCATGTATGGATGTGAGAGTTGGACTATAAAGAAAGCTGAGCGCCAAAGAATTGATGCTTTTGAACTGTGGTGTTGGAGGAGATTCTTGAGAGTCCCTTGGACAGCAAGTAGATCCAACCAGTCCATCCTAAAGGAGATCAGTCCTGAGTATTCATTGGAAGGACTGATGCTGAAGCTGAAACTCAATTACTTTGACCACCTGATGCGAAAAATTGGCTCATTTGAAAAGACCCTGATGCTGGGAAAGATTGAAGGCAAGAAGAGAAGGGGACGACAGAGGGTGAGATGGTTGGATGGCATCACTGACTCAATGGACATGAGTTTGAGTAAACTCCAGGAGTTGGTGATGGACAGGGAGGCCTGCCGTGCTACAGTCCATGGAGTTGCAAAGAGTCGGACACAACTGCGCGACTGAACTGAACTGATGACTTTTAAATATAGGTTATATTTGATTAGGTTTTAATATATGAATTTTACGAATCTTGTCTCAGTTCTTTTGCATACCTATTTTATTACTGTAGTCTTGATAAATATTTATTTTAACTTTATGGCAATTGGAATTTCATTTGATAGTTATCTGACTGACTCATGTGTTCCTTTCCCTAGATTGCCTGTGCAGTTTTTGCTGCCCTATTACATTTCTTCTTCTTGGCTGCCTTCACCTGGATGTTCCTGGAGGGAGTGCAGCTCTATATCATGCTGGTGGAGGTGTTTGAGAGCGAACATTCACGAAGGAAATACTTCTACCTGGTCGGCTATGGGATGCCTGCCCTCATTGTGGCTGTGTCAGCTGCTGTAGACTATAGGAGTTATGGAACTGACAAAGTGTGAGTTTATGTTTTCTTTCCTTTTTTCCCTCTTTTTAAATCTAGTTGAAATTGAAACTGAATTTTCTCAGAATCCAAGATCTTTATAACACCGTACAGCAATAAATGACAGAACTATAGAAGCAAATGAGAATAATTCAATTCATGGGTTGTACTTTTGTTATGATGTAAAAAGAGATAATATTCCGAGATTCCACATCTATATCACAATCTTGAGTAACTGTAAGGGGACAGTACTTTTAATATCTTTAAGAGCATTGAGACTTTTGTCAAATCAAGAATTAGCTATGTTAAAGATGTGTATTCAGAGGAGAATGTAGTCTCTGACATTAAAACCTTGTCTCCTTCCTGATATATCAATTCTAGTCACTAGAAAGTAACTTATACCATTAATAGAAAGGTTGACTTATAGGATCGGGGGCAACTTGTGGTTTCCCTTTTTTCCCTGGGTAGCTACTGGGGTCTAGTGATGACCTTTATTTTCAACATACCTTCAAACTGGCGAGACATACCCATAGAGATGTTAAGCTTACTTATGGAAAGAAATTCAGTGAAAAAATTCCTGTAATTCACATCATTATAATAACTGGGATCCTGAGAATTAATTAGTTTCTATAGAAGAAAGTTTAGAAAGAAGAACAAGATAGATCTCTGATGAATACTCACATTTAAGACATAGTTTGAGGAAGGAAAATAAAAATGGAGAAGGAAAAGAGGTGAAAGAAAAAGGGCTTTGAGCTATGGAGAAAGTGAGAATAAAGTTTCAAAGTGGTTCTTTATGTCCAAGATAATGCAAGTAGGGTAAGCATGGAGGAAAAATCATTTGTCCTATTTTGATAAAGTGCTAGAAACAGAAGCCAAATTGGAAGATGTGAAGAGATAAATCAGTGGCAATAGAGCCTTCATGTGTTATCTACAGCTTGCAAACATTTGATTGAGAAATAGTGCAAATATTAATTTATGATAGCAGTGACGAAGAAGAATTTTTAATAGTGAAGCTGCAAGAATGTCTAGGGTGTGAAGAATCAAGTTGGAAAGAGGAGATTAGTAGAGAGGAAGTATCTTATGCCTCATTTGTATTCAACATATATAGGCTGAATGAAAAGGAAAGGTCCTAGGGGGATAGAAATGCATAGATTATACATAAGATGAGAAAAAACCTTGATTCAGTACTGAAAGTGGCCTTAGAATTCACCTAGTCCAAGGCATTAATTTTACAGATGAAAAAATCAGGAGCCAGGTAAATTGCCTTGCACATGATGATAGAGGTAGATGGTGGCAGACATGTAATGAAATAAGTCAGGTTTATTTCCACTAAAACTAGGATTTTTTTAAATAGTCAGATGACCCCTGTCTTCTGAGGTGTGAAGAAAATAACAGATAAGATAAATTTGGAAGTGGAGGAACTTTTCCATCAAGTAGGAGATGCTGATCTTTGCTGAATGAATAGGTGAGGTCATGTTGAAAATACAGGAGATTTGAAAAGCTTTGAAATGAGCACTATGGAAAATGTGTTAAGGAGCCAATTAGATATTAATAAAAAGATTTCCAAGCAATAGTGAAGGCTCAGATGAGGTTAGATAACATCAATTTATACAGAAGTTAATAAGCCAAATTTCATGACTTTCCACCAGCAGTCAGCAGCCTGAATATGCTAGCAATAAAGCAGCTCATTTCCCAGAAGAGAAGATTCAGGAGGGAATGACAAGAGGGCTCCACAGTTACAAGGTGCATAGTTAAAATAGAATATGCTTTGGTGTAGAAGCACTAACAGTTACTTAAAAGAAGACCATAGCACTTCCGTTGAATTTTTTATTGAGACCAGTGACAGGCTACATAAAACCATTTGCCTAATATTGCTAGTAGTTATTATTTTTTAATCTAAACCTTGTGAATTGTAGTCAAATTTAAGGTTATTTTGTGTATCTCATTGGCAATCATGAACCAGATTAGGGTTAGATAAACATATTGTCTATATTTTGCTGTAAAGACATTTTAAGAGAGGGAGATTAGATAGATGATAGAATTTAATTTAAAATCTTTTATTGATAATTTACATACCATAAAGTTCATTCTTTTAAAGAATATGCTTCCATTGTTTTTAGTATATTCAATGTTAGGCATCCATCACCACTATCTAATTTTAGAATATTTTTATCCTTTCTAAAAGAAACCCATTAGCAGACAGTGCCCTTAAATCATAGGATTTTATGTATTAATTAATGTATTTCCCCTCTAATATATTAAATTGACTGACGTAGTTATTTGTGACCTTATACACTTAGAATATTGTCCTTATGTAAGTTCAATTTTGCTCTCTTGCAGTTTGAATTACTTTTATTTTTGTTCTGTGTCCTTTTTTCTCTTTAAATATTTACAAATTTTCCTATTACTAAACTGACAATTTGTTTGCTTTATGTTTTAGTCTTTTACTTTGAAAGAGATGTCATTTTCTGCATAGCAAGAATCTATCTTTTCTTAGAATCAATACTATATATTCTCTTGTGACTTTGTTAAAGCCTTGGCTATCATTGCTTTAATTTCCTGCACCATACCTGGAAGCTCTCATTTACTGACATTATTACTTTGTAAGAATAGAGGCTAATTTATTTCCCAGGCACTGATTTGAAACAAGCCTTAATGATAATTCAGTTTCACCATTATGATTTTCCCCAAAACAAGGAGAAGCAAAACAGATACAGATAAAATAAAGGATAAATGAAAGAAGTATAGAAAAGGATAGGGAAAATTGCACTAAAACTCTATCACAGGTGGGCACAGAGCAGTTAGTGTCTCATTTTTGTATTTTCAATAAATTGTCCAGAGAGGGACCTTCAAAATACATGGAAAAAATGTTTAACTTTTTCCTTTGGGACTTCATCCAGGCCAGTGTCTATAGAGTTCTGATTTGCTCATTGAGGAAGCACGTATTGAAAAAGGAATGTTATTTAGTCATGTGTATGTACTTGATAAGATGAATCCAGGCATCACCGACTCGATGGGCATGAGTTTGAGCAAACTCCAGGAGTTGGTGATGGACAGGGAGGCCTGGCGTGCTGCGATTCACGGGGTCGCAAAGAGTCGGATACAACTGAGTGACTGAACTGAACTGATAAGGTGAAATGAACAGACCATGTTTTTGTAGGGAGTTTAATCAAGATATCGTTTAAAAGTATATATAAGCAAAGAATTTTTATATAACTAGAAGAATTTCTGTATATAGAATTATGTGTCTTATTGCTTATTATTAAATTTGTCTTTGTTGTCTGATTTCTGTTACTATTGCTTATTTCTTTTATTTCTAATGGCATTTCCTTCTTCCTGCTCATCATACTTAAGTGTTTATTTGGGTTTTTTTTTCCACTGTTACCTCCTTATGTGATACACTAATGTTTTTAATACAAATATGTAAGTCCACAGTCATGATAAATAGCAATTAGCCAGAATTCAAAGACGTCACACATTATTTTGTAAATTGTTATTAAACTTGATACAGTAAAATTTTTGTCTTAAAAGTCTATTTTACTTATTTTTGGAATTTTATCATACATTTTTACATGTTAGCCTCAACTGCTTGATTACATCTAGAATAAAACCATTGAATATATATTACAGTATTCCAAATAACAGGCTTCTCTTTCTTTTCTTCTCATCTTAGTGTTCTTAATGTATTTTATTATAGTAACAATGAGGCTTTATTTCTGAAACCTTTAATATTAATAGCTTACATTTCTAAAAAGTACAGAATATCATATCAATGGTAGGAGATAAAATTAGAGACAAAATTGTTTTCGTAGGTTAAGTAAATGTTATTTTGATACAGATAGAGGTAACTATCATATTCCATCTGGCTGATGGATTATGATGTGTTTTTCTATGAAATGTTATTAGGGTTGTTGAATTGATTATTATGTACAAAACACATACTGACACAAAAAACATACATAATTTGATTTTGAGAAGTTGCTTAGTTTGCCATCAATTTGCAAAGTTTATAAGAGAATCTCATTATTTCATGATAGTGTTTAATGAAATCTTTTCATCTGTGTTGACATTATTCTTGAGACAATTTACTTAGAATTACATTTAGGCACAATTATAAGATACTTAAAATCAAATTAAAATTTCAATACAACTGTTAAAGAAAAACCTCAGCTAGTAGACCACAAGTGTAAATTGTACTGACTATATGATTTTTTCCATTTTCTCTCTTCTTTTATATCTTCCTTTAGTCTCTCTTATACTATTATTTGGGGCTTCCCCGGTGGCTCAGCAGTAAAGAATCCACCTGCAGTGCAGGAAATGCAGGAGTCGCCAGTTTGATCCCTGGTTCGGGAAGGTCCCCTGGAAGAGGGTATGGCAACCCATTCCAGCATTCTTGCCTGGAGAATCCATGGACAGAGAAGCCTGGCGGGCTACAGTCCATAGGATCGCACAGTGTCAGACACGACTGAAGTGACTTAGCATGCAGGCATGCATGCATGCTAATATTTATATAGATATTCAGTGAGGTCATTGGGTATGATTCTGTCAACAGATAAAAAGTCTGGCATTGACTTAATAATTCAAACAGAACTGATGTGGAAATTCTGTGATAAATAGTTTGATTTTATGACCTGAAACTAATCAGTTCCTGTAAACTTTATTTACCTCAGTATTACCTCCCCAAATGTAAACTGTTTGAACAGTTAATTTTTATTCAAAGGAAAAAATGCAGTTATATTTTATAGCACTTTCCTTGAAATCTAAGGTTAGGGCAGTAAAAGCAGTGGTTAAAGTGATGGGTAGACTGAAAAAGGGCTGGAAGGAAGTAGGTTCCAATAGGAGGAGGAGGGAAAGTGCTGGGAAGTAGTAAACCTGAGAGAATAGCCCAGGAATTAAAGTGTGAGTTCAAAAATTGGTAAGGGGTTTCTGAAAGACGTTGATTAGGTCATGAACATTTATAATGGACCAGGACATCCTTGAGTTCTTGAAGTATAACTGAGCTCTTAAAGATAATT